TGTGGAATTCTCATCAATGTTATTGTTTGTAAAAAAATTAAGTACTTAAATTTTAACCAAAATAATTATTAAAATTTGAATTTAAATTTGAATAATTTAAATGGCCTGTTAAAATTAAAAAAAATTATAAAAATATATTATGAATTAAATGATTATGGTTTCTCTTTGTCAAATTAAAAATGACTAAATGTGCCAACTTTTAACGAGTCAATTATTTTTCACTCTTTCGATTAAAGGTGTGATTATTGTGGATTTTGTGGGTTAACCGCAGTGGATAGTGGGTAACCACTAACAACAAAAATTATTATTTTGCTACCCACATCCAATCCACTACCCACAACTTGTGGGTATGGTTACCCACAATGGGTGTGGATTGGTGTGGTTTGCGGACCCAAACTTCCACCCCTAATTGGGAGTGTGGAAAAGGGCACGTGATTGTGATTAGTTTGTTGTAATTGTAAAATGAAACCTGAAGATATTTTCTATCTGTGGTTGGTGGGATTTGGAGTACTTGTAGTTGTACACGGCGATCGAGTCCAAGACAGCAATCGAGTGCTGTTCTTAACACTTGCTAGTTGCTGCTGATATATATTTGACTTCTTCTCTGGCTACATCGTGGATCTCTAAAATGGTTCACCAGTAGAGTACAAGTTGGGGGATTGTATACTGTATTGTATAGTGCTCTTTTCTCTATGACTTGACATCATGGAGTCAGCAGTATAAGCAGTCGGTGCGGTGTCATGTATGTCGCCGCCTCCAATTTTATTGCAGCCGCTAATCTATTAACCCATTAAATTCAAAAGACCTCGTATCATAACAGGACGCCCTTCACAGCTATACGGCTTTTGAGAGATCAAAAGGACAGATTAACATCCCCAATGCGCCCACTACCATTCTGCATCGATTTCATAATTATCGGGTAGTACCACAAAAATTCATGGATGAGCATTGGATTATTCCTACATGCACTTGCTACATCGCGGTTGGAATTCCATGAATATAGAAAAATCGGGCACAATACTACTTACAAGTTACAACAACTGACTCATTATTTTTTTTTTTAAGCAGAGGATGTTAAAGAAGACGAATGAAAACAAAATAAGACGACTAGTAAAAATAAACGAAGGATGTTAACTACAGGAGAGTTTGTGCTCTCTAATCTACTGATATTATTAGATTTTTTGTACAGAAAAATGGCCATGCGCATTGCGACGGTATTTGGCGGATTATAAATGGAATCGGTAATTTTGACTATGAAAGCCATTAAAGCATTGTATGTAGTAAACTTGAACAGATTCGAAATGCATATAGCTATATGATATCTGTTAAAAAAATTCATGATATGATTGTCTTTAATAGAATTTAGTAAAGCTTAGGGTACGTAGGCCAGTAGGGCTTGGTGATCTTCTTCACCTGGTCGTCCTGCTTTTCATTGCTTCATTATTTTGGCCGATCTTGCCTCATATACGGTCCATTAATAGGTTGTGTAAAACAACAAGGGTTATACCTTATTGTTACGAGAACGGGCCATCGTAGCATTTCGTAGAAGACTTGACTTGCGTATCTTTCATATATTATTATTAATTCTTATTTGGGTATTATTAGGTCTTTATTATTATTGCCTTAATTAGTGTTTTCCTTGTTTTAGTAGTATTTGGTCATTGTTAGTTACGTTGTTTCCTTGTAGTAGTAGGAGTCAAGTTCTAGATAGGTAAATGTAGAGGCTTCTATGGCTATAAATATGTATTTATTTCGTTCGTTTAATGATAAGAAGATTGGAACCCCAATAGTTAGCTTTTGTTCTTTATTTGCTATTTTCTTAGTTATTTCCTTTGAGAGTTCGTTACGTTTTATTCCTTTTACGAGAAAACCCTAAAAAAGCCATCCCTACGTCACATCACCGTAACACTTATTTAGCATACTGTTGGTGGAATAAATCATCTACCCAATAAAGTCTACTGATTTGGGTTAAATTTGCTTAGATAAGATGTGGTATCTAAAATTTACTTATTGTTTGTACCGAGATTGATAATGTAACTGGCTTGGAATTTATTGGGCACATTGTCTTCGATCAATGTCCCTTTCCCCGGTAAAAATGACAATTTCCTTGATTAGTAAATTTGTTTAGGTTGGGAAAAGTCGATTTTGTATGGATTAAATGAAGTTATCTCGATAGTGAGACGACTACCTGTGAGTGTTTGAGTTGTCTCATCTAGATCGGTAAATATTTCTTCATACACAATATTTCTTGTGAAGCTTTGTGGAACTTCTGCTTCATTGTCAATCAATATATGCAATCCGTCGACCGTCATTGTGGAACTACCTGTCATTGTCAATCATTGTCAAGCTTTGTGGAACTTCTGCTACATATAGTGGACCATAACTGAACACTGGCTTAGACAAGTAAACCCAACTGTATCTAGAGTTGTGGCCTTTACCCTTGTTGATTGTCAATGTATAGCAGACCCTTACCGGAAACTGTCTCCTCTTTAAGAGAAATGGCATTGATGTGTTAATCGAAACTGAAATATCGAAACTGAAACGTAAAGTACCACACAAAGTTACGTGGTTTCCTCGTTCAGCATGAACGAGACTAGTCCACGACCAAAACTATTGTATCTCTTATTCAACTTAGCTTTAATAGGTTCCATTGCATAGATATATATACAAACTAGGGTGAAACCCTAGACCAAACTCGGCTAGCCCTAAGAAACCCATACTGCCGAGATATGGGTGGGCCAAAGCCCAAATACGTAACACTCAACAGTTTGGTAACATTAAGCACAATCCTTGCTATGAGAACTTTTTTCTTGTCAAACTTTCCTTCAATGATAGCACCTCGAATATATTTTCTCCCAAATGTATGATCATGATCCTTGTCCCAATACACAGTTCAATTGTACACATTTTACCCCACATTTCTTGATAGTTTGGCTTTGCATTTCATCGTCCCTCGACATATTTCACACTAGGTTGTGCTTGTTTTGATACATTTCAGGTCCTAGCACGTGTGGAAGGGTCAATTACGAGTTTTGGGACGATTGGAGGTTGAAAAGCGCAAAAACCGAAGAAAAGTCTAAAGACCGTGACAATTGCCTCGTGACCGTGAAGCGCAGGCGTCCAGGAATCAGCCGCAGATCACAGTCAGAGCTCCGAGTTCACGGGCATCCAGGAATCAGCCGCAGTTCCCGACCAAAAGATAAGGGTAAGGCAAAAGTGTCGGGCCAAGAAGGCCACCTATGGAGTTTAAGTTGGGAGGTGACAAACCTCGCCCCAAGACCGTGGCGGATCCACTCTCGGTGGCTTCGTGCTCTCAAGCATGATAAATCTGAAACGTCGAGCTAGTGACGTTAAACTAGCGCTTGTTGGGAGGCAACCCAGCGATGGTTTGATTTCTTTTCCTTATTTTCTCTTTTTGTTTTTATGTGAAGAGTTTAAGTGTTAGAATATGTATCACTGTGTCGGGTCTATGTGTTTAAGCAGATGGTAAGGGGAGGCCGGTGCAAACTTCAAACCCATGACTCGACTTTAGTATTAGTGGTGTACGTGTAAGGCGTAGAGGTGGCAATTAATCTATATCCATTAATCCAATCCAATCCAACCATCCACCAAATTATCCAGCTAATCCAATCCATTGATCCAAATGGCAAACTACGATGAAGTACCTATACTTTTTAAATTTTATATATTGGTACCTAAATTTTATTTTTATATGAAAAATGTCATTTAAAAATTATGTTTTGGTACCTACAATTTTTCATTATGATATTTTAGTACCTTGATTTTTCAAAAATTTATATAATGGTCCAAAACTTGGATCTCATTTGGTTTCATGGACCAATCCACAAATTCATTGATGGATTCAACCCATATAATACATGGATCCACCAATTTAATCCACCAATCTATAAATCCAATCCATTTGCAACCTAGTAAGTAGACAACCATGCAATGCGTAAATAATTTGCTTAAGCTGTTCCTTTATTGGTGGATGCAACTACTACCACCACCACCAGATATGTATCATGGAGGCTGCAGAGTGGCAGTCAGTCAGTCAGCTCAGCAGTATGGCACATGGCTTCCGCCCTTGATGGATGATCTAATCTGATCATGAAAAAAGAAGTGAAATTCCGTTTCGCCTGCCCATATCCCCTTTGTCTCGTACGTACCGATCATTGTGGATAAACATGCAATTAATTACACAAGGTGCAACCATACATAACCCATATATATATATATCTCATTCGCTTTCTTTCTGTTTTGCGTACTAAACCTGGCCGGCACCCATTTCTGGAAGAAGCAAAGAATTGCACGTCACTGTACAATTTGTTGTTCCTATCTATTAAGTCTTATTATTGTCACTTTGAGGAAGAAGAGATAGACTGCAAGTCACGAAACTTTAGATAGTCCGTCCAGCACTCCAGCCAACCTTTCAACATGTACAATATATTGATATGGTTTGTCCATGTTGGCCTAGTGCCCACCATATCATTCAATCTTTGTATTAGGCATTTTAGATGGTTGCATTGCTTATTGGCTATTGCCAATCTGTCCTCAAAGAAGTATTGTGAGAAGAGAAACCATTCCAATTCCAACCCTGAGATATTCATGTCGAATGTTTGAAATTCCAAGCATTGCCCAAAATGGCAAATTACGTACATTACACATTTTGCTTGTTAGGTTTGTGCTGCCCAAAACCGATCGAATTTCTCCCCATTCTTCTTACTTACTTACCAAATCATTGTTAATTAAGAATCTTCTCTCAATTTGCTACCTTTTTTACATCACATTTTCAGCTTTCTTTTTCTCACACACTCAACCAGCAAGCCATGAGAAGGGCAGCAGGCAGGCAGGCAGGCGTTTGGAGCCCAGCACTGAAAGTGTTTGTTTCCGTACCGGGCCCAGGGACAAAGTAGGCCGTACCTTTACACGTACTCCGTCTTCTCACCTTTAAATAATCAAATTCTGCCCTCATTTTGTTTTTATTTATTTATAAAAAACTAACCTACCCCGTCTCTCTTCTTCCCGTAGGAAAAAAGCAAAGTACCACCCACCTGTTTTCCCTTCTCTCCCCTGTTTCTGTTTCTGCTTGTTCGTTCGTTCGTTCGTTCGTTCTCTTCCTGTCTTGGACATATGAGAGAAGGAGCTGGACAATCGTGGGTGAGAAGAATCAGTTGCCTGTGCCAAGTCTGTTCCCGCCCCAGATTACGATGGACGCCCCAGATTTGTCGCCCCCGCCCCACGTGGACGCATCCAGGCCCTCCCTCGGATTCCCGCTGGGGACTGCTCTGCTTCTCGTCGTCATCTTCAGCCTGAGTGGCATCTTCTCCTGCTGCTACCACTGGGACAAGCTCCGGTCCCTCCGCCGCGGATTTTCGCGTGACCCCGCCGCCGGCGAGGATCATGAGGACATTGAAGCTCCGCCCTTCAAACCCATGCCTCCCCACTTGGTAATTAGTCGCCTTCTTTCCCCTGTTTTTCCCTCCCCTTCTCGGAATCTGAACTCTTTTCTTTTTTGCTTTTGGTTGGGGGGGCAGGATGTGAAGCAGAGTAAAGGAGAGAGCCTGCCGGTGGTGATGCCGGGGGATCAAATTGCCAAGTTCATAGCATTGCCGTGTCCGTGCCAGCCGGCCAGAGCAGAGAGAGTATTGATCAAAGTGGAGAAGAAGCCTCCCTCTAAGCCGCCGCGGATTGCGGTGCCTTTCTATTAGCCTCCCACTACTGCAGATATATTATATATTAGGATTCTTTCTTTCTTTCTATATAATATAATGCTCATTAATTTAGTTGATGATCATTTCAAGGAATCGAGTGGGGTCTGGGATAATCGTAATTGGTTTTGTTGGGTGGATTACACAGAGTTGGATGATGTTTCACCTTATTAGCAGTTTTGTTGTGTGTGGAAAAAGAAAAAGAACAAGAAGAATTCCGACTGTTCTTCCACTTCATCCCTCTTGATTGTTGGTATTCCGGCCAGTAACTCTAGTAATAATGGGGGAAGCTTTCTTTCAATTATTCGATGGGTTACAGCTGCCAAACCTATATTCGCGCCATAGGTGATCTTGCAACAGCATTAAATAAGGCATGGCGGGGGATTTTGGTCTCAGAAGTTTGGAGAAAGGAGAAAGATAGCATCAATCTGAAAGTCAAAGTAAAGTACTGGATCGCTCCACTTAAAGGCGGTTCGATGCGGTGCGGCTTGGCATTATGCAGAGATTGTAACATAGGCATAAACTAATATAGGAGCGAGACATCCGCCATTCTGAACTTGCCTGCAGTATCCCAGTCGCCTATTTTTCCTGATTGAAAGCTCTTTCAAGCTCCTACTTGTACCTGTCTTTCATCTTTTTCCGCGTAATGTTGCTTTAAATTTCGAACTTTAACAAAGCCGTCATTTATATCTCAAATTTTTTAAAATAAAAACTGTGTCACAATATTTTATCTACATTCAATATTTCTGTTAGGCAAAATACACTTTCATAGCCATAACTATTCGTGTTGTGACAAATATAACCACTTTTTGAAAAATACACTCGTATAGTCACTTTTGAAAACTTGCTTGACAAATTTAGCCATTTCCGTTATAAACTTTAACACCGTTAACTCTTCAATGATGTGGATGTACACGTCATCAAATGTATGCCATGTGTCAGCCACCTCAGTTTAAATTATTATTTTAAATAATTTTCTTATCAAAATGAAAAATCATTTAATTTTTTCTTCCAATTCTCCTTTCCCCTTCCCCATGGAGAGAGCAGAGAACGAGATCCGATCTCCGCCTGTCACTCTCTGATCCATCGACCCGTCTCCCTCTACGTCGTTTGGAATTCTTTCTTTTCTTCTTCCCCGAGCCGCCGATCTCGTCGTTGCCGGCTTCATCCTCTCTTCTTTCTCTGTTAGTCATTGGGTTGGGGGAGAAATAGGGGAAATCATCTTCCCCTTCATCTTCTTCCTCACGCCAGAAACACAGAGGAAATCATCTTCTTCTAGCCATTCACACATCAAAGTAAAGACAAGCTCATAAACCCCAATTTTGAATCAACCAAAAATAGAACCCTAAATTGACAGAGACCCAAATATCGCTCCCCTTACTTCTCTCCCACTAGTCTTGTAATCATCCACAGATCGGCCACCGCCACTAGAACCCATATATGTAGATTGCTTTACCAGCGACAACTTCGACTTTATCAAGTCATCGTCGCCATCGCCATCATAATCGTCTTCCTCTCGTGCGACAGAGATGAAAAGGTTAGTCCCTGTTTCGATTGGAAGAGAGAAGAAGGGTCTGGGTTAGGGGTTCTTAGTCGTTTCAAGCTCTCACAAAACCACCGCAACGGCGGAGGATAGTCTGTGGGGCTCGTCGATGTTTCCAGAATCTCAAGCCAAGAACCAACACTCGAAGACCCATCTCGTCAAAGTCTTCGATTACGCTCATGGAGACTCCGACAGGGAGAATCTCAAAGCTGGTCTGCGGCGGTCGTTAAGGATTCTTGTGGCCGCCGAGCTGGTCTGCGGCGGTCGGTACCCATCGCAGCGACGGGCAGAGGCTGAGATGCGAAGGGATTGGGGAGAAGGAAATCGAAAAAGATGATCCAGAATCCAGATGGGTCTCCTGGGTAGATGGAAAGAAGGGGAAAGGCGAAAGGGGAAAAGAATATGACCGATTTTTCATTTTCATTAATTGTTATTTTTACTTTTTAATGTAATTATAATAATAACTTAATAAGAAATGAAATTTTCCACCTAGGATTGGTTTAAATAAAAAATTTCCACGTCAGTAGAAAACGTTAGTACAGTCAGCATTTATGATGTTGCCGTTAAAGTTTTGGACGGAATGGCTATACGAGTGTATTTTTCAAAAAGTGGCTATATTTGTCACAACGCGAATAGTTATGGCTATGAATGTGTATTTTGCCTTTCTGTTATAACAGAAAAGACAATAACCATTAAAAAAAACCCACGTCGAAGCAAACAAACGAAGGTTGTCAACCCGTGGGTCGACACAATTTGCTCCTAGTCCAGTGAGAAAAACGGGCCGCACGCACTCATCGGGTCGATCGCTACAAGGTACCGGGTTGGAGGTCAAATTGTGTCATTTTTTCTTTGGTTTGCGAAATGCGCCTATTTTCCGATTTTTCTTTTCACCTAACTCAATCTTTGGAATACTAAGTTGAACATTTGAATATTGATTAAACAGAAACCAATACGACCGTCAAATATCCACCGCCGGCGTCGACGATGTTGGTTTGATCGATACACCTTTGACTTCTAATCAAACAACTGTTATTCGATTCACCACCTCTCCAAACTACGTTCGAACGAGGGTGTTCGACGAATAACCAAAAAATCGAACCAGGAGTGTTCTACGTTACGTTACCTCTACTCCTATGGAGGTTCCTCTGGAGAGCTCCGCGACTACGACTATAAGCTACGACTACGACCCTGCAAAGGAGTTCTTTGACAGAGCGGTTCTACGAAAACTAGAGAGAAAAACTGATAATTCTGCGACGGTGCAGTTTGAGATTTGATTTTGCCGTCCGGAACTTCTCTCTCTTCCCAATCTTTATACTTCGCTCTTCTCCCCCCCAGTCGTAGTAACTCCCTTCGCGCCTTTGTCTCCCACGTCTTCATTCCTGTCAACTGTGCAGGTAACTTCCTCCTTGTTGCGTAACTCCCACGAGTGCGAAACCGCTTGGACACGCGGCAACTTGGCCAAAACGACACTGAGCCAAAATCCACCATTGTTGTACTCTCGCCACTGCGACGTTGTTTTCTATTAAACAACATCGTCTCAGTACCGCGACGGTGTTGATATCTCCCACGATGTCGTTTTCGGCTAAAGCGACACCTTCTAAACTTATCCTTAAAATATTAATTAATTAAACCGGCCATCATTGTTGACACGCCGTCAAACTCTCACTTCGCGGCGCCGTTCTTAATTAAACAACATCGTTTTCTATTTCTGCGATGTTGTTGAACTTTGCGATGCCGCTTTAAATTTAACACTGTCGTCTTAACTACTGTGACATCGTTTGGCCCACTCGCGGCATCGTTTTTAAATCCGCGGTGTCGTTTCTTCCTCTTGCGGCATCGTTTTCAACTAAACGACACCGTGCTAAAAAGTCATTAAAAATGTTAATTAATTAATCTGGCCATCACTAGTCCAACTCGTGTATTGACCAACGACATCATTAGAGCCACAATGGCTCCGTTTGTTTTTCCTTTTGCGACATTGTTTTTTATTTTAAACACTGTCGTTTGCTAGTATAGCGGTACCGTTGGGCTTCCTCGCGGTACCGCTTTTTAATTAAACGACACCGCTAATATAGCCAAAAAAATATCAATCAATGGAACCGCCGCCAGTCTGCACTCACATTGGGCTGGGCGAATTTTGGTCACTTACCCGATATGGTTTTTAATTCATCGGTACCGCTTATCAAGGCTCCCGCGGCATCGTTTTAACTCTCCGCGATGCCGCTTGTCTCCATGCGGTACCGATTTTCCCCTTCCGACAAGGAATAAAGATAATAATTAATTAGAGGAAAAAAACTCCTTTTCCAACACCCAATTAAACGCGCGGCCCCCTTTTACTTTTCAGTAAACGGTGTCGTTTCCTGTGTCGCGGTACCGCTGAGCTTCCTTGCGGTACCGTTTTTTTATCCGTGGTATTAACTTCTCGCGATGCCGCTCAACTCCAACCGACACCAATTTTTGTCCTGCGGTATCGAATTAAACGCCGAGACTAATTAATGCGGCATTTAATTCGGGCCAAAAATACTGTAGGTGTAAACAATGCCCCCACAACTTAGTTTATAAGAATCAATTTTTATGAACTAAGTTATTGACACATCTTATGCCACCTAAAATAATCATTAACTTGGCCTCAAACTCGTCAAATGGGCGAGAAAATTGCATGGCAAAATTTGGTAACCAAATCACCAATTCTACCAAAATTATTTTGCCCATGCATGCATCATATGTGGCAAACCTGAATTGTCGAGCTTCGTTGACTTCCCAGTAGGCTTGCACTCCCGCAACACTGCTCATTCCTTCAACAAACATGGCTCCCAAGAGGAATTGGGGACTACTGCCGTGTCCTTCTTGTATTCCTCCTTCAATAATTTTTTTTTATTTGTTAGCCCAACACCGTTGCGGCAAGGAGAATTAGGGCAGTAGTGCAAGTATAATAATAAAAACCACAAGACTGCTTTACCTTTAACAAAACGGAAGTAGAAGAAATAGAACCGCAATGATGCAAGCCTTCCAAACCAATCCATCCGAGTAAAAAAAACTGCAGCCTTGTTTGATCCACCGCAACTGTGTTATTCTTTTTTAAATATCGATCATGATTTTTTCTTATTTTATTTCCTGGCTTGCGATGTTGCGGCAAGCTTCACGGTGGCTTAGAATCCCACAACGCTGCAGCCTGTAGCAACCCGCCATAAACTTTTTACCCAAACGGCAGCGTATTCCTTGTTACAACGCAACTCTGTTTATTTTTTCCGCAACGCTGCAGATTAGCGGTCTAAGGGGTCGTTTGCATGTTGGATTTGGGTCATGGATTTGGTATCCAAATCTCAAGCTTGATGGATTTAACATAAGTCCATTGTTTGTTGAAGGGTGCTAAATCCGTGGGGTCCACGGATTTGGTCTTTATTTTGGAACCAAATCCGTGGACCCCACGGACTTGTAAATCCCACATATTGATTTGGGATTTGCAAATAGTTATTTATTTAACAAATTCATCATAAATCCATCATCAAATCTATCACGCAAACATTAGACTCTTCAAATCCATAATCCAATAAATCCAACATAAATCCCAAGGTTTTTATTGGCCAAAACCCTCATTTTTCAAATCCAACAAGCAAACGACCCCTAAATTTTATTATTATTATCAAGCCCACAATCTTGTGGCTTCTCACGCAGATGATCCATGTGGCTAGAGTTATTTATTTAGCTTCCTTTTTCTTCAAAAATCCCATTAGCTCACGGCATTGTAATTTTGTCTCAGCAACGCTGACCATGGAATTTCTTCTTACTCGCACAACACCACCGTGACCCGACCCACTTTTTATTTTATTACCATGGCAACATTGTTTTTGGAGAACACAATTTCACCACTGCTTTGGCCCTCACGGCTACACTCCACCCCAATTCTTTTCTTCTTTCTTGCCACAATGCTGCTCTGGAGACAATTCATTTAATTAATTAATTTTTTTTGTATTGCGGCCGGTTGTGCAACCTCGCATTGCTGTTTTTCGTCCCAAACAGCTATGATT